TCAATTCTTCTTTGGTTTTCCTTATTCATTGTCCAGCTTTTGCATGCATATGAGGCAACTGAAAATACCATAGCTTGGGTCAGGCGCACCTCAGTCCTCAAAGTGACCTCTTTGCTTTTTAACACTTCAAAGAGGTCTTTTGCAGCAGATCTGCCCAGTGCAATATGCCATTTGATTTCTTGTATGCTACTCCCTTGAGTGTTGATTGTAGAACCAAATAAAATGAAATCCTTGATAACTTCAGTATTTTCTCTACTTATAATGTTGCTTATTGGACCATATTATATATAATATATATGTCATATTATATACTATATATTGTTTTTATATTTATATGTTATAAATATGTGTAAGAGGTTAAAAGGAAGAGAAATATAAGGCCCAAAGCCTATGATTTAAAGATTTGGTGACTGTCTTAGTTATATTCTGCTGCTATAACAGAAATACCACAAGTGGATGGTTTTAACAAAGAGAAATTTATTCTCTCACAGTCTAGCAGGCTAGAAGTCCGAATTCAGGGTGCCAGCTCCAGGCGAAGGCTTTTTCTCTCCATCGGTTCTGGAGGAAGGTCCTTGCCATCAATCTTCCCCTGGTCTAGGAGCTTCTCAGTGCAAAAACCCCAGGTCCAAAGGGCACACTCTGCTCCTGGTGCTGCTTTCTTGGTGGTATGAGGTTCCCATCTCTCAGCTTGCTTCTCTCTTTTGTATCTTGTGACTGACTCAATATACAACCTAATCTTGTAGACTGAGTCCTGCCTCATTAACATAACTGCCTCTAATCCTCCCTCATTAACATCATAGAGGTAGGATTTACAACACATAGGAAAATCACATCAGATGACAAAATGGTAGACAATCACACAATACTGGGAATCATGGCCTAGCCAAGTTGACACACATTTTTAGGCGATACAATTCAATCCATAACAGTGATCAAATTCCCTTTATGAAAATTTTCTACGATACTGTACACTTGAATCATATAAATTAAATTTTTCATAATTGTTTGGAAATTTTAGCCTCTTTCTTCACATAGTAGCTGCAACAATGGGCTCAAAAATACCAAGAACTGTGAGGATGGCACAGGATCGGGCAATGTTTAGTTCTGTGATACATAAGGTCACCATGAGTCGGAACTGACTCAATAGCAATTAACAACAACAACCTGTCATTTCAGCTATATTTTTCTAAAACAATGACCTTCAAACTTATTGTAAACCAAGAACCTTTTCTTTCTTCAAAGCTCATTATGTAAAACTTATAAAAACAGAGTGCACATACAAAAAAAACTGGTTGCTGTCAAGTTAATTCCAAATTATGGCAACCCCAGGTGTGTCAGAGTAGAACCATGCCCCACAGGGTTTTTCAGAAGTAGATCACCAGGACTTTCTTTTTAGGTACCTCTGGGTGACTCAAACCTCCAACCTTTTCAGTTAACAGCCCGTTAGCAGCTGAGTGTATTAACTGTTTGCAGGACCCAGAGACTCAGAGTGTACATCGTTGAAGCAAATATGGAAGAACAAGAATGGGCTCTATCTCAATCTCCCTACCTACCACAGCTCCAGAACATATGCAAGCAATCCTGCTGGTTAAGAAAACTAAGGCTTTGCAAATGCTGGCTGGAGCTGACTTACTATATCTCAGAACTGTTTCTGATGACATTTAGCAGTTTGTAAGCCTTTTTGGCTAAAGTAGTATTTTGAGTTTTAGATATTTTTCTAGAAAACCAAATTAAGATAAGACTCTCAGTTCTTAAAATAAAATTTGGAATATATTTCCACAAACTTGTTAAAGTAGTAAGAATACAGCCTTTCATGGCAGCAGAATTTATTCTTCCCACCTTCCAATAAAAATATTCATTGTTGTTGTTGTTAGGTGCCCAAGTCGGTTCCAACTCATAGTGACCCTACGCACAACAGAACGAAATACTGCCCGGTCCTGCACCATCCTCACAATCATTGCTATGTTTGAGCCCATTGTTGCAGTCACTGTGTCAATCCACTTCGTCGAGGGTCTTCCTCTTTATCGCTGACCCTCTACTTTACCAAGCATGATGTCCTTCTCCAGGGACTGGTCCCTCCTACAACATGTCCAAAGTACAAAAAATTATTAACACAGATCCATAAAAATAAAAAATGGTTGCAACACTGTAGACAAAAGACAAAACCATAGCTCAATTTTGAGAGGAACGTCCACTAAATTCATAAACCATGATGAAAACTGGAGACACAGCCTCTTAAAATACATGTGCTCTGTCCTTCAAATCAAAACAGTAAACACGACCATGAGGAAGGCAGAGGAAAATTTATATCATGCCATACTCTACCTGTCCCTAGTTCCAGGATGAGAATGCAGCCAAATCCCTCCCTGTGAAGAGCTAGCTTTGAAGAAAGCAAGACTTACCACTACACCTGGCAGTTCCTCTTTTTCCAGATATACTCAAAATCAACAAAACAGAGTCCATGTAGCAAAAGATAGAAACACAAAACAATAAAGGAAATAAAAAACAACAAATAAAATGGAAAACAGTAAGATTAAACATATCAGGACTAATAAAATGTTTCAAGTTCCCTTATTAGGCTAAAATCACTGTATAACAATTCTTAATAAAAAAAAAAGAGAGAAAGTATGTGTGACACACATACAAATATCTACGTATGTATCTTTACATATTTATATGTATATGTAGGTATGTATATGTATGTGTGTATATATGTACTATGGATACTTATCCATATCTCTGATAAACTCCCCCAAAAGAAAGTAGTTGTTTCAATGCTAAAATTTCACAAAGTAGAATCTTTGGTGTACATGCACACACACACATTAAATGGATCAAAGGGAGTTACTTTTCACTGACTGTAAGTGATGCAGTTATGAATCTTTATAGTCCTAAAAGTCTAACATCAAAATGTGTGCACAAGTACTGCTATAAATTCAATATATATATTAAAAACACATGATTTGTGGTAGCATAATTCAGTCAATGACATCAAGAAAACAAAAATATGAGTGATTACTAAAATAATGCTAAATATTAACTACATAGAAAACTGTTAATCTTAAAGTTAGAATATATACTAATGTTCAATGGAAAACTTAACAAAAGTAACATTATAAATGCCTAGAATAGTTCAGTGAACCACATTCTGCCAACATAATAAAATTAGAAATCTATTACTAAAACAAAATTTCTCCACCACTTTAAAATTTTATTCTTATGATTAGCTATTTAACTATTGTTCAAAGAAAAAAATAAAGTCTTAAATATAGACTAATTCAAAGAAAATAAATATAAGTTTTATAATGTAACATATGGACTGATGCCAAACTGTACCTAGAGGTAAATTCATAGCTTTATATACTTTCATTATCTTATTACAAAGCAGAGAATGGAGCATCCTAATGAACAAGGGCTCAATGAATATTTGACAATTCACAAATTAATATGATTAATTTTGCCTTTCAGCTTTTCAATACAAATAGAGCTTAGTTAAAAAATCAGGCTGTAGCAACTGCTTAGCTAATTGGGAAAAAAAAAAGTCACCTCCTCACCTCAAACTTTAATTCCAGATAGGAAGTTAACTGTCTAAGGGTATAAGTAAAAAAATAAGAAGTTAAGAAAAAGATCAATAGAAGGATGTCCAAAAACAAGACAATTAAAAAAAAAAAAATGAAACGAAGGTAAACAGACTATAGAAACATCCTCTAAAATGGAACACTACACTCGATATATTGATAAAGGATTAATTAATAAGCATAAGTAAAATCTCAGCAGAAAAATAGGAAAAGGTTATTAGTCATACATATGTGCGCACATGCACACACACAAACTCATCCTCACAAGCAACAAAAAAGAAGCAAACTAAATATCATCTCAGCTATTAAACTGGCAAAGATAACCTTTAAACTGTTGGTACCCTTTGTCTCAGTAACATTTACACTGTAAAAATTCATCACTAACTTGATGATGGTTATAAAATGAAAATATTTAAGGCATAAAGTTTACAAAGTGATGTGAGAAAGTTTCAAGAAGCAAAGTGAAACGTCAAGGAAGCTCTAAAAAGCAGAAGGCTCCCAAATGCAAATCAACAACTTAAATTTATTCATGCAATTAGAAGAGAAAAGAGGCTTTTCCCTACTGTCCACCTAACATTAGAATTTTGGAGATAGAAGCATTTCAAAACAGTCTTGGATAAATTCTTGTTTAAATAGTTTTAATTACTTTAATAAAACAGTTACTTGAGAATGCTTTCCAAAGTTGACTTTTTGAAAAACCTTTATGCATTACGATTTCGTACACTGAGAAGACATTTCGCCCAGGAACTATCCTGTAAGACCTTTGTGAAATGTACTCTTCAGTTAGACATTATTCAGTGTCAACTCCAACTCTGAGATTTCACTATAGTCTCCCTCCCACTTCATCTTGGGAATGGAAAGCAACACTCAAATGCTTGCCTGAGCATCCTATATTTATTTTCTGTTGTTAACCTAGTGATAAATCTGTGGTTTTACAATGAATAAATTACACCACTGCTAATGTAGTTTAATAGCCTCCAGCATATTACCTAATTAAAGACCTTTTAAAAGTCTATGCACTGGCCTCCCCACTGTACTGATTCAATGAACTCTAGAATATTACTCAGGTGCATCTTTTGTTCCTTGCTTGCAGCATCCCTACTGCCTTTTCCTTAATACGGAATACCGGTTTAATTACACCGTAATCCCACTCATTATTGCAAATACTTTCACCTTGCCTTGGTGAAATAAGCCATTTCCCCGTAGCTTCCCTTTACAACAGTGAATCTCAACCATGGCTGTAAATTGGAATCACCCAGGAAGCTTCAAGACTAACTGGTCTGGGGTACAGCCTGAGTAATGGGATTTTTAAAAGCAATCCAGGTGATTCTAGATGTGCAACCAAGGATAACAAACACAGCTTTAAAAAAAGAAAGAAAGAAATTGGAGTCAAAATCCTTAGGTAAGGAGCCCATGAAGCCAGAGAAGAGCAATTAGCTTGGGAAAATGGCAGAAGCGGTTTTCCGTGCCCCAAAGAGGAAGAGAAAAGTATATGAGCATTATGAGTCTCCATTTCCGATCCCTTTCGGTCAGGACCACATTCCTAAGAAAGAATTCCAAGTGTACCATGCTGAAATGATGGACAACAATGTAATTGTGAGGAATGCAGAGGCTATTGAGCAGCTGTATGGGAAGGTAAGTACACGCAGCCTCGATGGGGCTGATTCCTGACAACTCTGAGCAAGCTGTCTTTCTCCTTCTCCTCCCTGCCCCTCCCAGCCCCACGACTAACCATAAACATTGCACACTCTTCCCTCGCAGCTTGGTACAGTGTAGGGACAGTACAGTGTGAATCGGGTGCCCAGAGCCATACGTTATGACGATAACGAAATGACTGATCAGATGCCCCTGTGAACCTATATTTCAACAATGAAGTAGAGCCAGTGGATTGACCTTTTTTTCTCTTTCAATTGTAAAAGCAATGCATGTTCATTGTAAAAAAAAAAAATCTAGCCATTTATATAAAGGTAATGGTAAAAAGTGGGCATTCTCCCCCTCACTCTCATTCCTGTTCCCAGAGGTAACCACAGAGTGGGCATATCATTCTAGACTTTTTTCTTTCTTTTTCCATGAATCGATTTTGAAGCTGATGCTTCAGAGCTGCAGCTCCCTAACCTTTGTGGGAGAACAACCTTTCCATCACCACAAGATGAAGAATTGGGATTAGGGTATACAGGCAGCGGGCAAGCGTCGTGGTGGCACTTGTAGGAGTGTCTCCCTTCCCATGGCTGTAATTTGGGGAGCCATTGCTGGCTTACGGACAAATGACATGAGAGTTGAGAATGTACTCCAGCTCCTTATCTGCTCTCTCTCCTGGCTGGGGACTTCTTAGGTAAGACGAGCTCTAGGTTTTCCTATTTTCCAGCAGCAGTGCTAGGTTTAGGTTGAGACTGGTAGCTGGCTTCCTTTCCTTCCTTCCTCCCTCCCTCCCTCCCTTTGTTTCTTCCTCCCCTTCTTTCCTTCTTTCTGTCTGTTTTTCCCATAGCCCATTCAAACTGCTGGGGGCATTTATTTTTAATAACTTTGTAGAGGTATAATTTACATACCATAAAATCCACCCATTGTAAGTGTACAATTCAAGGATTGTAGTAATTTACAGAGTTATGCAACCATCGCCACAGTCCAGTTTTCAGACATTTCCATCACCACAGAAAGTTCCCTGTACCTGTTTGCACTTAATCCCTCCTCCCACTCCCAGCCTGAGGCAACCACGGATCTGCTTTCTATCTGTATAAATGTGCCTTTTCTAGACAGTTTATATAAACTATATATGTTGTTTTTGGAATGGGCAGGAAGGAGAGGAGTAGTTCAATTCTAGGATTAAAAAGAATTCGAGGTGATGGTTGCACAGCATGGTGAACATAATGGCCCTGAATTGTACATTTAAAAATGGCTAAAATGACAAATTTTATGTTACATATATTTTACCACAATAAAATGGAAAAAAAAAAGAATTTAAGAAGCTTTTTGTACCTGAGTAGCAGACAGGTCCCCTGCTCAGGTATGCTGTGCTCCTGATCACATGGTAAGAAGAAATTCTGCCTCTACCTACCCTGTGCCTTCAGCTCATGAGACACAGACTGAAATCATTTGTTGTGAGATGAATGAGGGGTACTAAAACCTTATTAGTAGTCTTCAAACGAAGATCTTTATAGTAAGCGTTAGATAATCAAAGTAAAATGTAAAGCTATGAAAAACGGGGTGAACCTGTTGTGAAGTAGTTACTTAGCTCAGCTTAGACATTTATAATTAAACATGAACTAACTTTTTTTTTTTTCCCCTCTTCTTGGAAGGGTTATTTTGGAAAAGGTATTCTGTCAAGAAGCCGTCCAAACTTCACAATTTCAGATCCTAAGCTGGTTGCTAAATGGAAAGGTAAACTTGTACATCATTCAGTTCTTGTGGCAAAGTATCATTTCCTTTCATTTTTGATCTTATACCTCAGGTTACATAGTAAAATTCTAGAGGAAGAGTAACATGCTCACTGGCACCATTACTGCCAAAAATCACAACTGGGATAATTCTAATCGAGGTGAAAGGGTACTTATGATTGGTGAAAATGTGTTTTATCATTTCTGGAATGATCAAAAGTGTTATTGAGGCTTTTGTGTTTGCCTCGCAGAGTACCATGTGAAGGGCAGGTACTCGTAATTAAATACGTGCTCACCTGTGGCACTATACAAAATGAGTTTAATATTTTATTTTCCAGAAGTAGAATTTTACAACAATAACCATGGCATTGATGTATTTATTATATCATGGTAATGTGTATAGTTTTCACTTGCTGGGCCTCTTTTTTTTACTTTTTTTTACAAATCTGCCATCTTAGTGTTATTTCTTTAAGGAAGTCTTGTGATAATTACTTAAGAACTAATACTAGCAGGTTACAACATAATTAGAAAGGATTTTTAAAACTTTTTATTACAAGAAAAAATACAAATTAAAACCACACAGAGAAAACAGGATCCATACCTCGTACCATACACAAAAACAAATTCAAAATGGATTAAGGACCTAAATGTGCAAACTAAAACCATAAAATTCTTAGAAGAAAATGAAGGAGCAACACTGTCAGGCCTAGCTTTTAACAGTGGATCATCTAATAACAAAAGCACAAACAGCAAAAGACAAAATAAATAAATGAAACCTCATAAAAATTAAGAACTTTTGTTCATCGAAAGACTTTACCAAAGAAGTGAAAAGACAAGCTACCGCTGGGAGAATATATTCAGAAACCATATATCGGACAAGAACCTAATAACTAAAATATATATAAAACTTCGACAATTCAACAACAAAAAGACAAATAATCCAGTCATAAAATGGGCAAAGGACTTGAATAGACATTTCAAATGGTCACCAGATACATGAAAAGATGCTCAGCGTCATTAGCCATCAAAGAAATGCAAATGAAAACCACAATGAGATAACAGTTCACTCCCACTAGCATGGCTAAGATTAAGAAAATAATAACAAATGTTGGCAAGAATTTGGGGAATTGGAACCCTTACCCATAGCTGGTGGGAATGCAAAATGGTACAGCCATTATGGAAAACAGTGTGGTGGTTCCTCAAAAAACTAAACATAGAACTGCCATATGACCCAGCAGTTCCACTCCTAGGTATATACTCAAAAGACTTGAAAGCAGAGACTCAAAAAGAGACTTGTACACCAGTGTTCACTGAAGCACTATTCACAGTAGCCAAAACGTGGAAACAACCTAAATGCCCATTAACAGATGAATGGATAAACAAAATGTGGTACCTACTTACAATGGAATACTACTCAGCCATTAGGAGAAGTGGAGCCTTGATACATGCTACAGTATGGATGGAGCTTGAAAACATTATGCTGAGTGAAGTCAGTCAGTCACAAAAGGACAGATATTGTATGGCCTCCCTTATATAAAAAGACAAGAAAAGGCAAACATATAGAGATCAAAGTTTATTGGTGGTCTCCAGGGGCAGGAGGGAGGAGGAAAGAGGAGGTTAACAGTGATAGAAAAATAGCACTGATTAAGGGTAGGGTTACACAGTCGATTATTGTAAATGCTGTAAGTTGTACACCTGTAAAAAGTTGAAGCGGCAAAAGTTGTGCGATAGATATATTTACAACAACAACAACAAAAGAGGAGCTGCTGAGGCTGCTTATGTATGACCAAAATCCTCATGGGATTTGGTTTCTGGGTTTGGAGATTTAGGGTCATGGTTTCATGGGACATCCCTCTTAACCAGCCTAATAACATGTTTACTGCTTCTGTTCTACCTCCCAGTTCTACGTGTAGTGCCTGGGGTCTTAAAACTCGTAAGTGGCCATCCAATGCACAACAACTGGTCTCTTCTGAAACGAAGGAGAGTCAGGAATAGGAGGAGAATATGGAATGTGGCTAACTGCCTCCATGAACAGTTGCTTTCTTTGCTGTGAGACCAGAAGAACTGGATAGTATCTGGCTACCATTACTGATCATTTTAGTCAAAGATTCCATAAAAGAATTCTGATCTAGAAGGGGGAAATACAGAACAGAATTTCAAATTCTTGTGGACTCCAGACATCCTGGAGCCACGAGGGTTAGATGAACCCCTGAAACTGTTGCCTTGAGATAATCTTTAAACCTTAAACCAGAAATATCCCCTGAAGTCTTCTTAAAACCAAAGAATAGTTTAGCTTAACTGGTAAAAAATGTCTGCCTTGAGCATTACGTTCTTTTAAGAACTATCTAGATGGGATCAAATTGACAACAGCAACTCTAAAGACTGGATAGTAACCTTAGGGGACAGTGAATTTATGCTAATGGGGGAAGAACAACTCAGAAAAGGGAGAGGGGTCAAGATTGTAATCAATGTCACTAAATTGTACATGTAGAAACTGTTGAATTGGTACAGGCATACCTCAGCTATTGCAGGTTCGGTTCCAGACCACCACCATAAAGCAAATATCACAATAAATGAGTCATACAATTTTTTTTTATTTCCCATTGCATGTAAAACTTACGTTTACACTGTAGTATAGTCTGTTAAGTGTGCAATAGCATTGTGTCTAAAAAAAAAAGAACACATCTTAATTAAAAAATTATTGCTAAAAAATGCTAGCCATCACAGCCCCATAAAACAAAATGGGACTAATGAGGTAGGTCAGTCCAGGGACAAGGACTAGAAGGAGGGGACAGGAAAGCTGGTGATAGGGAACCCAAGGTTGAGAAGGGACATTGTTGACATGTCATGGGGTTGTTAACCATTGTCATAGGGCAATATGTGTACTAACTGTTTAATGAGAAACTATTTGTCCTGTAAACATTCATCTAAAGTACAAAAAAAAAATTAGCTATGTGAGATCAAACTGACAACAGCAACTCAAAAGGTTTGATGGGAAGCCTACGGGACACTGAGTCGAAGATAATGGTGATGGAATAATTTGGAAAAGGATAGTGAGAATAACAGCACAAGTGGGAGAATGTAATCGATGTCACTGAATTGGACATGTAGAAATGTTTGAAATGGCGTTATCTTTGGCTAGGTATATTTTCACCAGGTCCTCCAAGGTTGAGAAGGGAGACTGTTGACATGCCGTGCGGTTGTTAACCAATGTCATAAAACAATATATGTACTGACTGTTTAATGAGAAACTAAGTGTTCTGTAAACCTTCATCTAAAGTACAATAAAAAAAAAATTTGAAAAAAAGAAAAAAAAATCCTTAGGTAACAAACAGCAAACCCATTGCAGACGAGTCAGTTTTGACTCATAGTGATGAACACAGTCATCATAAAATGAAATGTTATGGATTCTGGACGATTCCATAACTGATTCTTGATCACTCTTAAAACTCTAGAGAAGATGTCATTTGTCACACTGGTATGTCCATGATGCACAATCACGGGATCTTCCCTAGCTTAGAAACTGAAATATGCATGCGTGAACACCACACTGCTATGCAATCCATACTCTCCTTCCCAATCAAAAAAGGCCTAAATTAATTTGAAAATATGTATACAGTAGCACAATAACTCAAAAGCCGCCTGCCTCACTAGGGAATGAAAACTGGTAGGATTTTCCACTCAGGATTTCCATACTTCATAACCCAGCAACCAGCTTTATTTATCTTGTGTTGAAGATCTTTAAATGACTTTACAACCGTGCTGTTTGTCTTGTCAATGTATAAATGAAGAGAGATGGTGCCATTAAAAAAAAAAAAAACTTTAAGAGGGAAAACACACAATTACAATATTTTATTTCTCTTTTGTAAGCAGTCAGTGTGTATCAAAATGACAGCTGATTTCGTTTTTGAAAGAAAGAAGCAAACACCAATATCACTTAATCTGTTTGAGTTCTCATTAGCACAACCCATTCCACCAAATTAAGTGCTGTGGTCCCAGGATACCCTGTGGAAGGTTAGATAAACCACTTGGAACAACAACCATTTTTCTCTGAGATAGTGTTTTAAGTCCAGTCTGAGGTTTTACTTTAATGTGTGATTTCCAACTCGCTCCCCACAGGACAATGAATTCCATATTATTAAAAGCAGCAAACATCATAACCCATGCCTTCTATGTTTGTACCAGAATGTACCAAAGCCCTAGGAGCACAAGGATAAAGTATCGCAACTCCCTAAGAGGCTGGCCTTTTAGACTATCCACAGATATGCTGGAAACCCACAGGCAAGGAAGTGAGGCATACCGTAGGACTTCAACACTGCTTACCCATCTCTGGGGTTTGATAATGGCATTGGGAAAGTGTCAGTTCTAAGTTATTGATTCTATACCAACAGGTAACACCATTTTTATGGCCTTCTTTAGAAGGGTGGGGTAAATCTTGTTTAGCCACACTCATTTCCACAGAATAGTAGAAGGTCCTTCAACTTTGCATTTATATTATCTATCCTCTACCCTAATCTCCTTAATTTTTGAGACATTCTCTAGGTAAGACACTTCTACATATCTAGCAGACATTTACTAAGTTCTTATACTCCACAGGTTGGTCTTTGACCGCTAACCTAAAGGTTGGTGGTTCAAACCCACCCAGTGGAGCTATGGAAGAAAGGCCTAGTAATTTGTTTCCACATGGAGCAGTTCTACTCTGTAATACGTGGTCCTGCCGTAAATTGGAATCAACTTAACAGTAATAGGTAATATGTCATTCACTGTAATAAGAATACATCAGGCTGTGGCTGTGTCTTAGAGCACAAAAGTAGAGCAACACAGAACTAAGGTACAATGACTGGTAGCATAAGAAAAGGTGATTCTCAGCCTTTATAAATCTTTAGCTCTTTTTTTTTTTTTAATAAAATTGGTTCTTTCCCTGAGCTTGGGGATCACTTAAACAATCAGAAGATAAAAATAGAAAAGACTGTTTCCAAAGAGAGAAAAAAGTGCCCCTTTATTGTACTACAAGATCCAGCTGGGAGAGCTGTAAGCAAGAACCCCCGTATATTATTTCACCCAATACTATTTCCCCACAATGCTCTCCCCCAGATCAATTTTACCTAAGAAGCTTACCTGC